TTAAGACACACATACCAGATGTTATGAACAAGTCACTCATTTTCAGACAGCAGATCCAAATTTTTAAAAAATTACTCATGAAGAAAAGAACAACACGTATGCATTTATAAAAATTAAATGTAATAAGTGAGTGGATATGAATGCAAGTGGGCATTTGTTGTGGATGGTTTCCAGGTGGCCGATTTTGGATGCGGCTTCAGAAGCAGCACTGCAAATAATGATGCTTATTTGCATAATATATCCTCAAAGTGTATCTCAAAATTTGCAAGACTCTCTCAGCTACAACACGGCTTGTAGGTATGTTAAACCAGTAAGTGGTGAGTGAGGAGAGAAGGGGGGGTGGGGAGGAGAATATACACCTAGGAGACTTACTGACAAGTATAAATATACCTCATTTTACAGGTTAAATCTGCAAATGACACATTTAATACACTTCTGTCACCACCTTAGTAAAGTGTTGTTCTGCAAGCAGGTTACTGTCATACAGTGTCAGTCAGAGTAGCTTTGAAGATCCTGTGAATTTACTAGTACGATTACTGCTTTATTAGCATGCACTAAACACGTGCCACAGTTCCTTTCTGTCAAAGTTCATTAAAACAGAAATGCACTGGCAGCTGTCATTTCCTAACAAGGCACATATTTTTAAAATGCTGTGTTTTATATACAGTGTGAAATGGATACATTGGATGCATTTTTATAATGTTTTGTGTAATAAAAATAATTCCAAACACTTTGTTGTATGCTAGAAAGTACCTGCAAATTTACACAAATGTTTATTACCCAGTTGTACAGTCAGAGCTGGATTCTACTCTTTACTCAGAGCTTATTGCCTTACTTGAAACAAATAAAAATCAAAAGGAATATTTTTGGTTCTTTTTTTAAATGTGCTGACTAAAAGGAGAAGGATACAATATCTCCCAAGAATGCAAAACATGGTTTTCCTATTTCAGAATCCTTTAGTGGCTTACTTAATATACTGTGTCACTTACATCATATATATCCACATTTACAAAACTTGTCTTCAAATTGGATTCTTGATCAAACCACTGCGTAACCAAAGCAGATGAATGCATTGAGATTGTACAGCGCAACCTGATGGAAGATCAGCCATTACACCTGTGTTGCAACAAGGACCTAACCTACCCAGAGTACTCTGACTCTGTCCCAGTATTCTCTGACATCAACAGAAACCTCCTTTTACTTGAGTGTTTTTCTGACTTAAAAAAAAAAAAAAAATCTTTTCTATTATCGATACTCAGAAAGTATCAGAGCAACAGCAGGCATCTCTATACAATTACACCTTTGGAACAAGGGGTCGGTGAGGTTTTGCCGGGTGGTGCAGAGAGCAAAAATGTCTCACAACTGACTAACCTCCTGTCTCTGACCCCACTCTTCCCTTTTGCCTTTCCAAGTTAGAAAAATATTTGAAATAGAGCCACTGAAAAGTGTTTCCAAAAGGCACTGCAGCTGTGGACTCCCAGAGATAACAAATTAGCACTGTAACAGGAAACAAGGGAAGCAGGTGAAAAGGGCTGCTGAACGTTTTGATGTTGTAGCTCAGTTCATAAGTGCAAGGCTGAACCCTACAAAAAATGAGCGGTATTGAAGTCTGCCTCAACCACACTATAAGCACTGTTGGACTGGTAGTATAAATAGGAGTCACAGCACATGCTGTGGTTTAGCTAAAATGTTCCATACATCTGTACTGACTTCCTTTTCAGGTCGTTATTAAATCATTTTAATTAGGAAATAGTTACATGGTACTTCCAGTAATAAAAATGTGAACCTACTACCAGGCAGGTTTAGCTACAGTGTTTTAAATCTAAGGATCTAAACCCTCCTGTAGTTGTGTACTTGACACAAAGTTGCCTGACCAGCTACAAAATCCTGAGCTTGAAGAACCATTTCCATACCAAACCTGAAGCTGTTCTTGGGTATTTATCTACTGTTTTCATGACCGTCATACCCAGACAGCGATCTGCTAATGTGCTTGTTATCAATACTCATCAAAACTGGGCTAGCACACGGCTACATCAACTGATACTATTGCTACAAAGTCAAACAAAAGGCTCACAGGAGCGGCTGTCCCCTTACTTCCCCTACCCTCAACCTCCTCTGACAGTTTATGCCACCTATTTTAAAAGGCAGCCAGACAGCTGCTAGGTACTCCAAAACCTCTGTTCAACTTGGTAATGAAACCATCAGAAAGATGAACTGGTATTTTATAATCGAATTAACTTTTACATTAATGTCCATTACTCCAGTGAAAATAATTCACACATGGAAATAGCTAAACTCACTGTGCTCTGACAGTTAATTTCATTACATAGCTCTCTTCTAAGCTGGTCAGAGGGCCTCTGCCTGCTGCTGCTCCTTTATGTTCTTCCTTATAAAACAAACACGGTGACAGCAAGAAACGGGTACTTCTACTTTACATTTACATGGCATCTTCTATCCAAAGACCTTATTTCTCTAATAAAATACCAGGCCACCACCAAAGAAAATGTTTCTCACCACAGCACTCACAAAACCAAGCAAGCTACAGATATAATTCTACAGTGCCTTTAAAATTATAGAACACAGGTGTATGTTTAAACATGAAGAATCTTTTGGGCAAGAAAAACACAAGATCACATCTGTAGAGTCCTCTTAGTTAAACCCCATCCCACCCTCTGTTGGTAAATGAGGCTCCATTTCCATGAACAAGCTGTGTAGGTCTCCCACAAACCTAACTGATTCCCAGGTCCTCACGAAAAGCAAAGGCCTTCTGTAAAACGGTGCAGCTCCTGAGTCCCATGTTGGTTTTTATATACACAGGCATACAGTTAGATACAAGCACCCAAACACATGTATCTATACTTTCCGCTCTCTCCTTCTTCAGACGAAGAGGCACTGACTGAGGGAAAAAAGCAAGCGATCTGTCCAAAGGCTTTTCTTTGAGAGGGAGCTTTAATGAGCTCTGAAACACTTGCAGGGCAGCCTTATTTTTGAGCCTTGACTCTGTAGGGCAGGAAGAATAATTCCTCGGGTAACCTGCTCTTTGGTGCCACATGGAGCGGAATGCGCTTGGCACAGAGGCAAGCGCCTGACCCCCTAACTTGCGGGGATCAGTACATCTCACAGGAGGCAGCCAAACTCCTCCGTGAATCATATTCTCCTTCACCCTGAGGAGTCTTTCTTACTGGCTCATATTAAAATGCAGCTTTGACTCTGCATCACTTTTACTAATGGCTTTGATCTAGACATGAATAACAACTGCACAACATCCATATTCACTAGGCTACTCTGAAAGTCTGTCTAAAACCAGCTAATAATTTACATGGAAATTGTATCTACCAGAGGGAGCCCGTATGGCCAATATAATAGAACAATATTGACACAGGCAAGAAAAGGTAATTAAACCTTGGTGAGGGCTACACAGTTCAGACAAGACACAACCCTTAGTTCCACAGGTGTGTCATTTTACAAAATCCAGAGGTAACGGACTATATAATTGCTTATGTTTTTAGGATCTGCCCTTCCAAACTGAGTTGTTGCAACGCTTCTACTGTACATAACATGTCTGAGAACAATAAAAGACATCATAAAGACAACGGATCAAAATGTTTCCTACCTTTATTATCATCATCATGAGAGCTTTGAAGCATGCTGATGCATCACTGAAAGAAGAAAAAAACCCAACTGATCCAGATCCCCCTTGTGATACTCAAGGATTTGGAATGAAATGAATAGGTCTCTCTACACAGAGTACTCAAGACCAAGAAGGTGAATTTTGAACTGGTTCTGATCAACATAAAGCAAAAATGAGTAACTCAACACACTTCTGAAAATGCAAGATGTGCTTGGTTTTCAGTAATCTCTGAAGGCAGCTACCAGTAACTTCACTGACACCAACAGAAAAGCTTAAATAAAACTAAGCAGTTAAAGGCTCAGAAGAAAACTAAATAGCAGCATTACATATATCATTTCTGTAAGCTGCACCAATTCCAATGCTTAGTGTCTTAGGCCCTTTGTCCTGCAAAGTTCTGTGCGTTTACCTTTCTACATAGAAGCTGTCTCAGGAGTCCAAATCAAGATTATGTCTAAAAGTGTGAAAGGCAAACTGTACATTCTGATAACTATCTCATTCTATAGTTGGACAGTGCTTCACAAAACTAAGATTCAATTTTTAGTGAGACTTCAGAGAGGTTCCTAATTACAAGTAAGAAAAAATTATTTGTCAACATCCTAAACTTACAGCCTTTTTCTGAATACAAATTAAAAAATTTAAAGAAGAGTAGATTCTGAACATGCAACCCCCTGAAAATGAAGTGGTTTCACTATTGGCTATACTGTCTTTAATCAAGACCAGGGCCATTTATACTTTTAAATTAATTGCAAGAAAGCATTCTATTCCAGGAGTACAAAAGAAAGCTGTTTCTAAAGAGGTAAGTAGTTTGAGGTGAATTTCTAGTTTATATGTTCAAACATATGTCCAATTTTCTTTAAGAAGCAATACGAGAAGACTAAAGTGGGGTTTTCTTTGAACTTGATTTCTCTTCCTTCCTCCCGTCTACTATCACAGAACATCACACGCTCACGTATATAACTTTGCTTGTTCACATTACCTGATTGGTTTCGATGCAACTGTTCACATAAGTAAAATTACTCACATTCCTAAGTTTTGAAGATTACATTTTAAATTTACCGCTCCCAAATCTGTCCATTGCATTTGCTTGGACTATAAGTAACATTTTTTTGAACGCTTTAAGTTACGTTCCCTCTTTTCTCTATCAAAAAAACCCTCCAACAAAAAACCATACACAGCCCTAGAGAAAATCAAGAACAACAACAATAAAAAAACCCAACTAGGGTGAATACACAGTTCTTTCACAGAAAGAGCCTGCAATAACAGTGTTTGCTCAGCACGTATCTGACAAAGCAGTTACAACTCAGAAACCTTCTAGCTTAACAATTTCCGGAAAGAGCTCAAGGTTCAGATGAGATACCACACAGAGTAAGACGTGTCTGGTTGCCACCAGTATGCGATAACACCTGTGCGTTGGACTCATTAAAGATTTAACCAGAGAAGTCACGTGCACACTGAAAAATGGCTGACAACTGCCATGCTTAATGCACGTCTCCAAAACTTTGAAAAAAGGAAGCAAAATGGAGTTACCTTTGGATGAGGAGGATGGCACTTTCACCAACATTTCTTTGGCAGATGATTCAGGTAAGAAAATACAGCAATCTACTGATACAATACAAATCCATAGGCTGAATAATTGTACTGGGTGAGCACAGAAACCTGTAGATCCTAATTACCAGGTACAACATATTTTTAGCAAATGCCCTCAAGTAAACTTTTCTAGTTGTGTAGTTGAATAAGGTTTATGATTAGTTAAGAATTGAGATTTTGGGGGTATGGAGGCTACCACAGTTTTCACATAATAGCACATGGTAATATACATTCCTCATCTGAGAACATACAGCCTTTCACTGTTTAGAAAGAAAAAGTTACAGAAATGTAAATTCAGTAGTTACTACTAGCAAAGAAAATACAGATAATGCTAGCCTTTCCTCTGAATATGCAACAATAATCTCTTTGACATACTCTAGTGAGAGCTCACAAGAAGTGATGCAAATTAATTGCTAATGGAAATAAACTGATCCATTTAAATCCCCACTATTAAGCATTTAATTGTTTTAAAAGAAACTACAAAAGCAAAGACTGCCTCCTCCTTTCTCCCCCCAACCCGAGTTAATATGAATTGATAATAAATTATTTAGAAAGGTGTGGCCAGAGTATCAACTTGATCATGTCAGCATGGCTGCCAGAGAGCTGTACTAATTTACACTAGCTAGGAATCTGGATTGCTTATTAATGAATAATACAAGTCCTATTCCACCCCACCCCACCCCCTTTTTTTTAGAGTAAAGAATGTTATTGTACATGCTATCTTTACCTCCCATATAAAAAAAAAAAAAAACACGAAGTTGATCTTATTTTCAGAACACAATTTTCTAGCAATTTCATATTATTGTGGTGGTGCCGAACTGGATGTTTGAATGCACTTTGTATATACAGCATATAGCCTAATGACATCAAGATGTGGTTGACCCGAACTATTTACAATACGATAAATTGGCAGACCTTGGTCCAAGTTGTGCAGTAGTGAAGGGTTCTCCTGACAGAAAAAATCTTTCCCTGTAGCAAGGTATAGAACTGTACGGAAAAGATATCCTATGACACTGTTTCATGACTTGCTACACAGCTGATAACATGGCAAGAACAGATGAGGGGGAGCATAGAGTGGCAAGATTGTCTGGTCTTTGCAAGGCATCCCGAAGTAGCTGAGTTAGGGATGACTCCACAATACCGGATGGGTGTTTTTGCCATACCGCTTGCTTAGTCTTTTGGAAGATGTCAAGTTGCTTTCTTTAGAAGGCAAACACCCACTAGACTCCTCTACTGCTCTAACCTCAGCACCCTTGCAGCTTGCAAAATGTTAATACACATGAGAAAAGAGGCACAAAGTTAAAAACTCTCTCATTCAAGCACTGACACTAGATACCAAAGTGTACTCACCATTGCCAAGCCCTGACAGATGTCACTGATACAAAAGTAGTGCTCAGCAACAGTGCAAGTAAGACTCTACTGCAGCTCAGAAACTGAGCCCTTCAAATTTGCTAGACTCCTGACTGCAGTAACACACCCAAGGTCAGAGAAAGCGCATGTTTGCAACACAAAGAGGACCATAAACAGGGCTTCTTTATTCAAGATCTGCTACCAATATCAGAGCTTTTCCCCTAGTAGTGAAGAGGTGGGGACAGTCACTCAAAAACAGAGAGATAAATTCAGAGTAACTGAAAGTAAGTAACATTTTCAGGCAAGCTTTTAGCATGAAGGCATAGAGGGAGAATACAGTAAGATTCACGGTGAACATGATAACCCTGGTCCATTTCTTCTGCCAGAGAGCAACGCCTGGAGGTTAGAGAGAAAGGTATAAGACAATTCCTAACCTATAATAGGAAGAGACTATCATATACATTGTAGGAAACAGTTGAAGTTAAGCCTAATTCCAGTAACTCTGGAGCACAGAAGCTAACAAACAGAATGGGCCTTTTAGCTGTAACTGTAAGGCAGGAGAAGAACATCAATTCCAGAAGAGCAGGAAGGATAGAGGAAATGTTTTACACAGTGAGAGAGAAAAAGATTCCTTAGGATGGACAACAGCAAGTTCAAGCAAGGAATAAGGAAACTAGACTTGCAATATGTAGATCATAAGTGGACTTTGCCTGAGGGTGACCTGATGTTTTAGAAGGAAGTGTTCCATAATTAAATTTTAAATAGGATCACAAAGGTGCGGTGGTTTTAATGAACTCTAGTACGTTTGTAATTGCATAAGGCTTTCCCCCCATTTCTTAAAATGTACTGGAAAAGATACTAAACAGACAAGTAGAACAACATGCTCTGTATGTACAATCTGAAGCATGATCAGAATACAGTCTTCATATCAAAGTTTCTTTAGTACAGTGAAAAGCCATTGTGGCAACGCAACAGGGGTTACTGAGCCTGATTAACTGAGTGCAATGCATGAATATTTAATAGTCATTGCTCTTTCAAAACAGCAGCGTTTCTCTATTTGTTAAGTATACAGGTATTAAAAAAAAAAAAACACTTCCACAATGAACACAAAATGGTAGCAAGATAGAAACTTCTTGATAAGTTAACAGCAATATCAAAAGTGCATGAAATCAAGGAAAGCGTTCATTAACAGCATTTGTGACAATATTTTCACCTTTAATGAAAGAAATACCTTTTCATTTAGAAACTCATAGCACTAGATAAAGTTCCCTCAAAAAATGACTACTCAAACAAAAGCACAGAGGAAATCAAACCAAAAATAAAACAAAACAGTGAGATAATGCCCAACAGCTGCAAAAATTACTTTATTGTTCTTTTGATCGATGCTGTATAAGTAAATCAAGGCGCTCTTTCTTCATTGCAAAGAAAACTAGAAATTCTCTCACTCTTCTCAAATGCGCTTTACAGAAACCCAACATTAGGGACTGCTTTTCTCATGTAAAAGCTTCCTTTTAAAAAGCAGATACAAACCCCTAAATGTTTAGGCCTAACTTACAGAAAGGCAAACAGTTTTTCATCTCGTTAAGTTACCAGTAAAGCTTTACGGAACCTCGCTCAATGTCCTTCCACAAACCTACAGCTGATGATTACAAGGAGGATCGAACTGTTAACAGGCCATCATTACGTCACATGTGCTGGTACTCACAGCCTAAAGCTGCAAAGAGCTCAGTTGCTCAGTCTATTTAAAAACTGCATTTTTGTGGAGTCAGAGTAGAAATGAGAACATTTGCACTCACGCACAATCTTCCAAAAAAGATAGGATGCAGTTACGTTAGAAGGCAGGCCTCTTCAGGGTTAAAGAGAAAATACAACTTTCCAAGGCTTGCTTTCTGTAGACTTCCTAAAGAGACTGGATTTTTTTTCCCAACTGTATGCTCACAGGGTATGTAATCTGATGGGGTCCCATTCTCATTCATGACCTAAGGCACTACGAAACCACAGACAATAAGTAAGGACACAGTAAGGAAAAAAGTACGGAAAAAGAATTAAGCTATTTGTATTCCTTTTCGCCTTTTTCTTTGTGGCAACAATTAGTTAAAGGAGAAAACAGTAGAGTTCAAATAGCAAACTCATCTCAGAAATATGTACAATACCTTCTTCTGTTAATGAAAAGGAGAATACATTTCTATTCTAGTGGTGAACAGTAAAGCCTCTGTCATCAGTCAGCTTACGCGGGCGCCTGTAACGTTGCCAAAAAGGAAGTAAAAGGCTTGTTGGTTTGCACTGTGTACCATGGCAAAAACAGGATGTACACCAGAGTTTTAGAAATAAAACATCTGAAAGTGTTTGTCATTAGCAGCAATGACTGAGAATCTGAGTCCACAGCAATAAAATTCTCTCCTGCAGTTTTGTAACTGCACTTATATATGCATTCAGGTTAACTATTAATGATGCCTCATATCCTGGGGAAATTGTTGCTATTTTAAGCAAAAAATGCTCTTTCAGTGAAACTGAATAAATTAATTCCTTTTGCCAGCAACATCAGTTAGTTTTAGGAAAGCTTAATTGGAACTTAGATATAGATAATTGCATTTGTAAAGTGAAACTTGTTGTTCCTATAAATTTAATATAGATGACAACATTATGAATGCCTCCTCTGCTTTAACCAAATGCCTTAGAAAATATAAAATTAATTAGTAAGAAAGAAAGGGATTAGCACCTGTTCTTAGTTACATCCAAGTCAGCTTTGACTTCAGGAGCTCTGACACATTGCTAAAAACGATGACCTCTCTTTATAACTCTTCAGTCAGAAAATCCACTTACCTGAAGTGAGTGATCTAGTGTGTAGTGTAAAAACAGTTTAATAAACCAAACAGTGGAACATGACTTAGGGCAGTGTTCAAGTATTTCCAGTAACAAAGAGAATCCTCTTATTTCTTCTTTTAAACTGCAGAGTGGATATTAGTATGCTGTTATGCTGCTCCACAGGAGAAAACAATTAATTTCCAGCATTTGTGAATATTATTTAATTTTCTTGATAAGGTGTATGTTCTCTAAAGTAGAGAGCAGTAAGTTTGTAAACAAGACTAAAAAAAAAGCTCTGTGAACATGGGTTGTGCCCAGTTTCTCAGCCTTGTGCTGCATATTCCAAAGACTCCAAGTAAGCAGCCACATAGCAAAGTTGACCAATTTGCTCACACTTACATATAATTAGTATTTACCCTATTAATTTTGCCCCTCCCAGTGAGTGGGGAAACCAGAGAAGCAAATGCTGCCAGATCCCTGTCAAACATAAGCCAGTCTTTAGAAGGATTGTTTCAGGTTCTCCTAGAACAGGCCCCAGACAACACTTGCCATGCTAACAACTTAAAGAACAAAGAAACGACACTTTCTAACACAAGAGTTAACAAAATACTACAGGCTGATAAAAGCAATAATTGTTATACAAGGGCTTGAATTGGCCTCCTCCAGTGAAAAGGGAACAACAAGCACACCCCTAAAATGCGAGGCACTATTTGGTTGCTCTGCACACATGCATAGGTGTGCCTGGAACACGTTCTGCATTATAAAAGGAATCTTATTGTTTGGGATATACTCTGAATCCCTACAGCTTCAAATTTAAAGTGCACAACAAATTTCATTAATGATATATTACCCAATGCAAAACAGGTGAGGTAAGATATTTGAAAAACAAATGGGTAAGTCATGTGATATGCTGAGCTTTTGTTGTTTTGGTTGATTTCTCATAAAAAATGCTTTGGGCTGTGGGCTTTTTTTCTGTGGTGTGTTGGGTTTGGGTTTTTTGTTTGTTTGTTTGTTTAAATCCAGTAAGGCATCAGATATTTAGAATCCTGAAGAAGACGGGTTGACTTCTTTGCGCTGGAAAACCGAGGGAGGGTTAGGAAGGGAAAGAAAGATGAGCTAGGCGTTCTCTCTGTGGAATTTGCACCCAGCAGCATCAATCCAACAGTCTTGGTCCCCGGGCTGTGCAGACCAGGGCTGTGCACAGCAGGGTTGCTCCCTGTTGGCTCAGGACTTAGGTATACTTCCCTTGGAAACAGGGGGTGAAGGACAGGGAAAGAAAAAACGTAACATGCGTGGACCTTGCCATGATAAGGAGCTAGGACATAGCCGGGTCACACAGAAACAGTTTCTGAATGTCGGGTCCCAGGAGCACGAGCCAGCTGCACAATCTCAGATACTAGGGTAAAGGGATTCATATACTGCAGTACAAACCTGAGGAATCTGTGCAACTGTTTAACATTAACCTAGTAACACACAGCGCTATGCAGACTAAAGACGTCATCTGTTCTCTGCTGACGGCCCCTCTGCAATGCTAACAGTGGAGGCTCAGATAAAGACAATTTTCCCTAAAGGGAAACCAAAAAACCTCTCACACAGGTTAACTTCTGAAAAGGAGTTTCAGCCTGGTGCTCAAGCTCAAACATCAGAGTTAAGAATCAAAAGAAAATACTACAGTCAGAAACCACAACCATGCAAAGCAGAACAAACCCTCAACAGCCTACGAACCAAAATGGAAACAGTAGGTAAACCAGCAACTCTTGGAATTACTACTCTGTTTTGGCTACAACACCATAAGAGCCAATATATCTAGCTTCCATTCTGTCCCATAATTTAATGTCAAGGATTTTCCCACTTTGCTCATTTTGGGACAGTTTAGGCGATAAACTGCAAATGTAATGCAGCAAGCAAAGTGGAATTTCTGCAGCAGAGATTTATTTCCCCAAGATTAGCCCTCAATCATTTTTTCCCCCCTCTTACAGTATTAAACACAGCAAGTTCTTCACCAGGTCAGCAAGCTCTCCATCCATCTGAATCCACCTGCAGACTCTGGCCATATTTTTTCCCCCTTAATCCAAGTGCTGGAGAGTGTCTTGCTAGAAAGAATTATGAGAACCTGTTGATTGCCAGGCTTGCCACAGAGCAAGTGCAGCAAGCAAGGTCATAACAGGGTGAGAAGCACCTGTCATTTAAAAAAACAGCAATCAAGGAGAGTTACTAACAAGCTCCTAAAGCCCAGCCACCACCTAAGAGGACTGCTTGCAGGGGTTAAAAATGCCTTTTGTAGAGAAAGTGCTATATTTTTAAGTAAACCAGCTAATGAAACTCAAAATGATAGACTCATTTTCCAGTACAAACAGACTGCAGGATTCTAATTAAAATATGTTTTCATAACATGAACAGCATTCAGTCAAACCTGAATTTATCTGATTGTGAGGTTAAAAAATTATTAACACAATGTTAATAAAATTGTGGAGGCACCCAGAAGATGTAGATATTAGAAATATGTACTTTCTGAAGTGTATTAAAAAAATGCAGTAGAGGGCAGACTTCCCAAATGCCTTTATCTTCACAGCATCAAATTATTTATTTATAACTGGATATATTCCAGCAGACATATGGATACGATATAGATCTATTTCACTGCAACATATGGTTCAAGCTACATAGTACCTATAAAGATACTACAGGTTATGCAGTACAGTTACTTCAGCGAAGCCACTAAAATGAGCTCAGGTCCTGCACGTTGCCTTTACCTCACAGACTGTCCTCTGAGGTCCAAAGGGAGCACCCTCTGCAGCACGTTCTGCAACGGTTATTCCCTCCAGGGAACTAGGGAAAGGGAAAGATGACAGAAACAGGAGTGTTGGTTTGGAGCTACTGAGCTAGTAGATGAGAGCAACTATGCAAAGTTACTTCGGTTTCTGTGTGACGTGATCTCTAATGCTTTAAGACCCAGAAGCAAGGAGCTAAATCCCAGGTTTCTTAACCTGGACACTGCTGTGCAGGCGGCTTATCGATCTGCCAGACTAGAAGCAGTTTGGCCGGGTTTACACGGCGCTGAACTGGAGCAGGTAAACCCTGCTGGCCTCTGGCTGGGGGCCTCCTCTCCAAGAGCTCCTGAGAGTTAACTGCAACCACACAGACACTCGGTTTTCTCCAGCCTTCCTCAGGCTTTGCCAGCCTACCTAAACCTGAGGGAGTTACACGCTGGAGAACACCTGCCTTCCCTTAATTTCTCCTGAACGCAACAGGGAGCGACCACCTGCTGGTTGGGAGCCACCGCTCTAGGCATCTGCACAAAACGAATTTATCAGAAAAACCTTGATATTAATGTAATGGCGTACCTACTAGTTATTTCTGTTATTTTATCTGCAATTCAGTGGGATTTAACGGGAAAGGACCGCGTAGGATTAAAAAAACCCGTGAGGGAGGCGGAGGCGTGACGAGCTCTCCCGGACGCGAGAGGGCTCCCTTGCTCCGCACCCCCTCGGCCCCTCCCGGCCTGCACGGGCCCTGGGCGGGGGTGCGGGAGGTGCGAGGCCCGGCCGTTGTGTGTGTGTGTGAGGGGGGGCTCTTCCAGCCGCGCCCCTGTCAGGGGGGGACGACCGGCGGGGGTCTTCCCGGCTCGCACGGGGGGGGGCGGGGCGG